GCCAAGTTTAAAGGAATTAAATTTTAATGTAACATTTCTTGATATTTTATGAATATTTTTCCAACAATGAAAACTAAATTTGCTATATCATTCCATCAGAAACCTGCCCATGTCATTACAGATACTCCTCCTTGTTCTCTACTCATTCTCACTTTACTTTTTCTCAAATCATGCCAACAGTAGGAAAATCCATCTGGTCCATTTATATTCTACTTTCTTTTGGTCAGAAAATATAATTTATTTCTGTTCATCAGTTCGTAACATTATATTAATTTTGCCCACTTCAATCTTGCTATTTATGCTGATCAGTTAAAAATGAAAGCAAAACCTAAATTATGTATTTAGTAATTTCATTTTATTTTTGATGTCTCCAAACAGCTGTATGACACACTGGAGATGGTAAACTTGCTATGGCTTTGCTAAGTGACATGTTATTAACAGTTAAAAGTTGAAAAACCCTATATAGAAACATAACTAAGCAATTGCCTTAAATAATTGAGCTATAACAGTGCTGATTTAATGATTAATACTAAGTAATTTGCTACTAGAGGTAGACATTAGGTGCCATCTCTTAACTAAATTAATAATTATAATTTTAATAATTTTATAAATAATTTAGAATCATCTGGAAGAAAGAACTGACCTGGGATAAGATTTGAACCTGCAATTTTCACTTGCCATGTGGTGCACTTGCCAGTTGTGCCACTTAAACCCTGAGCCAGCTTTCTTGTCCAGATGTATTTAAATTTAGATACAGCCTTACACGGTTGTTGGGGTAGAATCATGTAAGAACACGATTCCTGCCTTTCTATTTTTAAACTAGTAATGGTCGCTGTCGCAGAAAGACGGTTAAGGAAGCAACTGTGGGATTTTGAATGCGTGGCCACTGATTGGTCGGCATCCCCCGACCTCTGACAGAACAGCTGAGCACTAGTTAGTTGAGAATCAAACCACTACATATTTTGCATAGTGCTACAACTGGTAACCGTTGATTGGGCGGCAGGGAATCACACCACATGTTATTTGCATAGTGCTACAGTTCAGTAAGCACTAATCGATCATCTAGCCTGCTGTCGATGGCTATAAAAAGGTTAATGTCGAAGCAGGAGATCTAAGTTTGGTTAGAAACTTCAGGTTTATGTAAATTCACTTCAACACAGGAACTTCGGGAAGTTTGCTTCAGAACATCAGAATATACACTAAGTTCGTCATAAATCTTCAAGTGTGCATCAGAGTTTCAGTCAAGTCTGGATTCTCTTACAGTCTGTTCTTCAACCACCGGAAGGAGATTACTTCTAGCCAACAACTCATTGATTCACCGTAAGGTGTCTTCTTGACAAACCAAGATCAGCATATTGAATTATCTGAACTTTATTAATGTAATTGGCGCATTGAGTTGGTCACCAATAGTGAAACAACAAACTTTTTAAACTTTACTATGGTTAATCAAGGAGCCGGCTGGGGATGACTCCTATGTCCAGAGCCTAAGTAAAACTCCACAACAGCTGTTTTCAGATTCAGATTTTATTTAAACGTACATTGTACATTGTACCTGTACTACTAATGTTTTACCCTGCAAGGTATATATCCGAAAGCAAAGGCTAACTCGGGGTCTGGGTGGGACAACTGAGATGCAGAGATTGCAGATTCAAGCCTCACCCCAGGTAAGTTTTCTTCTTCCAGATGATTCTAACCCCAGGTAAGTTTTCTTCTTCCAGATGATTCTAACCCCAGGTAAGTTTTCTTCTTCCAGATGATTCCAAATTATTTATTAAATTGTTAAAATTATAATTATTAATTAGTTAAGAGATGGTGCNCACACACACACACACAGTACAGAACAATAACTTTTTCCCCCTGTGTCGTCATCGCACTTGTCTTTTATATGGGGGCTCTGTTTTCGAGATGTCCCCCATGTACGTCACAGGTGATGATCTTCTTTGACCAATGATGGGCGAAGTGACAAACTTATGACACAACAGTTAACTCATCTTCTACAGGGAAGTATTGTTGTGGGAACGGAGTTTTTATGAGCGATTTTTATGAGAAAATTTGTCGGTTGTTTTTCCCTTTTTGTGTTAATCCTAACTTTTAATCTAATGAATAAAAATATTCTAATCTTAAATCTGGGCCCTCACACAATTTACTTACTATTAATCATTAATTTAGCAGTGTTATAGCCCAATTATTTAAGGAAATTGTTTGGTTATGTTTCCTAAAATATGGTAATTTAAGATAACTTAATATTGTTTTAAATCTATAATAAATTAATATCATAAAGTACTCAGCAAATCACTATAAATATAACTAACACCTTATCCTTGCCGAGAAATATAATTTATTTCAAACAAACGCTGAATCAGGATGAAAATGTTTGTTTGAAATAAATTATATTTCTCGGCAAAGATAAGGTGTTAGTTATATCTATAATAAATTAATTTTTTTAGTAATATCAAAATTACCGTATTTACTCGCGTAAAAGATGAGGTTTTTATTCATTTTTCATTGCTTCAAAAACTTAGGTTGTCCTATATGCATGAGCAAAAGTTTCTTTGTGTTTTTGCAATAATTTCTGTGCATAGTTCATACTGCCATTATAGCAGGGTGCTATTGAGGTCAAGATGAGTGTCACTTTCAAGAAATGGTCCGAAAATAGCTGATCACTTAGCAATGATTATAAATGTAGTTATTTCATATTTGTTAAATTGGTATTTTTAATGAATATTTGCACATTCTGAATCATTAAATATAATCATTATAATCTTTTGGTTTTGCTATGTGGCATGGAAAAGCATTCCTCAAGAGCTGATAACAAAGTCATTCAGAAAATACTGCATTTCAAATTCATTTGACAGATTGTAAGGAACTGAGTCTGAGCTGTATTATTATTTAATTTTTATTTTGCTTTTTATTCTATTTTGTTTGGGGTGTATCTTTAGTTAGGACAAAGGTTCTCTCACCACTCACCTTAGTAACAAAAAAGAAACAAAAAGAGATAAAGGAAAAACCAACTCACCAACTAGATGAAGCGCCATAGGGAAACTAACACGCATTTGCACTCCCAGGCGGAAGTTTAAAAGAAGTTCTGCAGAAAGAAGGGGAAACACCCCACATGCACAAAGTAGAGAACTCGCTAAACCTTGATAAAATAAACATTCTAAAGATGTAATAAAAAAGAATAATGTAAAAGGATTTTGCAAGAAATGTTGGAAACTAGACTGCACAGGAAAAGACATGCAAATTTATTGTTAGAAATTATGTATGTAAATGAAGGGAGTGATTCTAGACATAATTGTGACGTCACCTCAGAGTATAAAACGAGCACAACCAGAGAAGACAAGCGAGGTGAGCCCCAGCCAGGGATAGAGCGAGGTGAATTCCAGAGCAAGATTGGAAGCAAGTTTTGAGGATAGTGAGAGGAGTAATTCAAAGGAAAAATGAATAAAGGAAAAAAGTTCCTAGTGTTGAGGTGACGGATAGGATCATAGTTTGTAAGATTCCTTGTATATGGTTTAAGTTATTGATATTGTCGAGTTCCAAGTGGGAATAGTTAATAAGTTATAGTAAATAAATTGTATTATTTTTGTTGATTTTTTCGAATTGTTTCTTTTCATTGAATAAATTGTTTTTGATTCTTACTAATTTGTACATAGTGAATAATTGAGTTAATATTAAATATTTGAGTTCCTTACTGACCCAGGTACATAGTTATTTCCAGAGCACGTGTAAGTCCAGGCCTGGCATACTAACCACAAACCCGCGTAAAGTACCCGTTAGGTTAACGGTCGTAAAGTTCAGTGATAGTCCCGAACGCCTTACTGGCACATAGTTCTGTGTCATATAAAAATCCATAATACTTTACAAGATCAGAGGATGATGCTTTGTGGAGAGAGTGAAAAACAGGAGAGTTGTAACGAAGCTTCGGAGGGAGAGTGAGTAGATAAAAAGTGATAGCATCAAGAAAACATGGTTGTTTACCTTAATATGTGCATTTGATAATATTTTACTAGCGATTAAATGAAATAAAATAAGAATTGTATTAATAAATCTAATTTTCTTTATTTTGATCTTTAAAGTCACACCTCATCCTACATGCGAGATCGTCTTATATGTGAGTAAATATAGTATATTTTTTTACAAAATTGAAAAATTTCTTAACTTTATACCAAACTAGCAAATGAGCCCAGCATTGCTTGGGCAAACGATTTGGATGATTTTGTAAATATTGTATGTTTGGAAATTAAGTTATTACTATCAAAAACAAAAATTGCATCTAAAATAGTACAGTAGAAACTGTTCCTCAGGTTAAGGCTTAATCCTCTCCCTCTCCTCCTGTGGGGGAATTTCCAAAAATCCCTTCTTAGTGTGCATTTTCATGACATACCTTAACTGTGTACCAAATTTTACCTGTTTAGGTTCAGCAGTTTGCTCTGGGAGATGATGAATTGGTCAGTCAGGACATGTAATTTTATATATATAGATAACTGACATATGAATTAATAATTACAGACAACTTCCAACAGATATTAAATTAATTATATGCTATTTAAAATTATCATCATTAAATATCAAAATTGGCACCATAGATCCAGCACTGAAATTAAACAATTGTCCAATCATTTCAAAGTCTGTTTGAAACCATCCATGTTAAAAAAGCATTATCAGTACTTAATAACATTCAAATTAAACTGATCATAATATTAATTGATGTAATTTGACATCTGCATTATTTAAAATGATATATTTTACTCCAAGTGTGTTCATTAGAGAATAAACAATTGATTCAATTAACAGTACCATTGTTTCTATTTTTAAAAATAATTTTAGTTCTATTAAACAATTTATGGGGTGAAATATAGTGAGAAAAGTATACTTTATTATGTTAAACTAGGTCAAGTTACTTACATTCTTATCAAAAAATAATTCATCTTTACATTAATTCATTAAATATCCAAATATTTAAAGAAAATTATAAACCATAATCAAGAATTGAAACTCACTTTTCTGTATGCCAAAGTTGAAGGATGGTAAGGCTTATCTGACCAACTATATGGGTAATCATCAGTGCCTCCTGAAGATCTGCCTACAATAAATTTTCCAATTACATTCTTAATAAAATTTATTTTATATTTTCAACTATCTCCACTTCAGAAATCATTTTAAGTACACTATTTTCAGTTATTTAAGCAAATTAGCATCTTTTGAATTAGCCAAAAATTATATTCTAGATTTAGATTTACATTAAATTCATTAAACAGAAGTATTTAATAAAGGAAGAATACATATGTAAAGTATTGGCCTTTTAGCAGAAAGGGAACAAAAGAAGTGCGACCTTGTCAATTGGACCCACGTGCAGTCGGGCAATATACCACTTGTAAGGTGTTGACTTGTAAACAGAGGGAAAACAAAGGAAGTGCCAACTTTGTCAATTGAACCCATATGTGGTCAGATGATAGACCATTTGCCATATGGTAAACTACTGAATGTAAACAAGTGACGAACATTACTGTAAGCTTGATTCTCATTGGATAACAGCGGACCTAGGTTAAAGTTGTTCGGGCAAGAAAGGTTTGTGATTAGTCTGAAGTTTCTGTCCAAAAAACCCTTAAATTGCAGAGCAAACAGGAGAGGGAGGAGAAGGGCAAGAGACTGGCAACACGGTAGTCTCAGGCACTTGGGAAGCCCGCTGAGCTTAGAGCATTTTTCTCTGGTAACTATCTCAGTAAGTGAGTGTAAGTGAGGAGACTGGACAGACTGTGCAGTTGAGCCAACTCCACAATCTGACTGAGGCCTCTCCAAAGTTTAATAGTTCCCAGAAGCCAATCTAGTATGTGAGGCACCATACTTTGTTATCCTGTATGTACAGGTAGGCCTCCTATAACACGATAGATACGTTCCTTGAAAATACCACGTTGTGGGAAATCGCGTTATAGGAGACACCAACTTAATACAAAAACTAAGATTCGGTTCTAAAAAGAAAAAAACTTGCCGTTTGAATGGTGTTTTTTGAATTTTTCAAACCAGCTATTGCTAGCCACGAATTTAACACTGGTTTCATCAGCTGACGACTCTCCCATTTGTTTTAAATAATCAAATATTTTTAAGGCTTTGTGCTTAAGTGCACTTTTATTTAAAGGCAACCGTTTCTTGTTCATATCTTCTACCCAAAATATTAGCGTTTATTCCATTTTTTTTCATTATTGGTGCTCTTGGACGAGCAACATTTTTTGCAAGAATAGATGATCCGGATGAGACTGAATTCCTGATCTTTTCTTCCTATTGCTTAATTAACACCTTAAGTTCCCAGCAATTTTTGATATTAATGTAATTAAATATAAAAAAATACTTAAATTAATCGACCGAATAGTTGACTCATTTAAATTAAAATGCCTACCAATATCAGCTATCCGCTCTTGATTTTTAATTCGATCCAAAATTTCCATCTTTGTTTGAAGAAATATATTAATAAATTTCCTTTCTAATGACAGTCCTTTCTTTTCATTCGACATTGTTATAACTAAAATTTTTTACGCAGTTTTGTGGACAGTAAAAATCGCAAAAAGTAACTTCCCTTCACTATGTTCTTAAAAATATACACCCAATAGAAGCTTATATTGTATTTTGGACCATTTTTGCGGTCCCCACCTATGGAAAGAGTATAAATTATCGAAAATTCAGTGATATATTTGAGTGTTTATGGTAAATGATGCATATCTGTCTAGAATCTCTAGATACCGGTCTTCCCCTGAAACTTTGATGGGAATAACACGTCAATGTGGACAAACAGCTGTTTTCGAGAACATTTAGCTCTGTACACCAAACTGCGGCACGTATTACATGATCCGTTGCGATTTTTCTGTTACGTGAAAGATAATTCGTTTCTAAATATCGTAAACCGCGTTGTAAGAAAATTTCTGCATTTTTCCAACCACATTGAAGCGAAAACACGTTGTAAAGGTACCGCGTTGTAGGCCTACCTGTACTATGTTTTTGAACTTGTACACCCTATGTATAAAATTTGTAAATAAACTGTAAATATTGTATAATTTGAGTGTGGAGGTGTGCTTTCCATCGAACCTAGATCACTATATCAAATCGTGATACACACGGAAATCAACTCAACCAGATGGAGTTTGGGAAAGATCTTCACTACATAAAATTAAGAATATATGTAAACAATTATTTGACAATTTGGAACCAAAGATAAACAAGTTTTTGAAACAAATAATAATCAGATGAAATCAGATCAGTCAGACCAGATAGTTTAAAACAATACAATTTATTTAGATTTAAATACTAGGAAAATATATATGGGAAAACAAATATTGGACTGATTAATACAAATTATAATCAAAAGATCCCAGTAATTATATGATGATATTTTCTTATATATTGCTCAATTAGCAAATAATTATTTGGAAAAAGATAAGATTTGCACAAAGAAATACAATTCAGTTAATAATGACTAGACATAAGTCAAAAATAAAAATATAAACTTAATTTGAACATTAAGAAAGGGTCAAATTGTATTTTAATGATATTTTATTCAGTTACAGCAAAAGTTATTTTTACTATTTTAGATTTTAGACTGTGTAAAAATGATATATTGAAAGTCCACAAAACTTGGCACCATTATGATGATAATAAATAGTTATCAAAATACAGTATTACCAAAAATTTTTTTGTGATAACCAGAACCTAATAGTTTGTTTTATTATGATATACTGAAAATTAAATACTCTCTTTTGTAAATGTTAATCCTTTAAGTCCGCTTTTTAAGGAATTTTTATTTAAAATAAAAATTATAATATTTGTTAATCAACATCTTCCAAAATAGTAAAAGCAAGCATTCAAAATTTAGTCTGAATAAGAATGAAGGAGGAATTAGATTGATAGGCTAAGGCAATAATACATATGTAATCTGCCAAGAAAAAGTGCCTTCTGGGATGTCTTTCTATGAGAAACTGACTCTTATTTTAGGTGTTAGACAAAGTCAAAGACTCCACGTGAACAGCCTGTTGATGAGATGCAAACCCATGATCAACTATTGGTATTTAGTAGTGTTATCAATTTGGATTCTGGTGGGCAAATGAAAGGAGGCAAAAATTGATATATGAACTATAGGTCTACATAATTATGATTATTTAAAATTCATAGATGATAAGCAGAAAAATCAAATTTTAAATTATGTAAAACTAAAATGATCAGCAAGCAAATTTGAAGCATAAAATGCATTAAAAATTTCATGAAAAGTTTATAATTAAAAACTAAAAATATCATCAAAGTCATCACTATTTTAAAGTAATTATCAATTAAAATCTTACTCCTACTACTATCAAAATCATATATCATATTATACAGAATAAATTATCATCATGCTCACTTACCAGGGTGAAAAACTTTTCCCATACTTACAGTATGGAACCCCTGATTTTTAAAATATTGAGGTAGTGTTATAAAATCTCCTACAGTCTTCCTCCAGTAATCATGAGTATCATAAAGATGAATGGTGTCTGGTCTTCGACCAATAAGAAAAGAGTTTCTGCTAGGTGCACAAAGGGCTTGCTTAATTAAAAAAATATTTGTAAAGATTTTTTGAAAAAATCTTAAAATTAAAAATTTTAATATTTCTTAAATATGAAATTTAAATAGCAACATAACTTTTTCTATATAATCCAATAACACAAAATGACATATCTTAATTGTTTAAAAAAAATTTGATTATTACTTAAACATATTCAAATTGCATCCTTGATATCATTAATTTTTAAATATAAAATTATTCACAGGAAAAAAAAACTCAAATTTCTATATCAATGTAATTATTTGGATAAATTTATATTAAGATTACAAATTTTTCTTTAGAAATTCACGAATAAAACTTTATAATCTTTAAACAAGAAAAAAAATTGAAAATTGATTTAAAAGTTTTAAAGTTATAATTTAACTTCTTATTTACATTAAAAATGAAGCTTTATCTTTAAAACTTTTTAAAATTTGTTTTTTGGCTTATAAACAATTGTGATTTAATTTAATTTGTTATTTTTTTTTAGACAAAACCGCTCAAAATTGATGAAATAAAACAGCTCCAAAAATATAAATTTTAATTTTAAATTGAGCATCATCTCTCTTTCTCTCAGCTGATATTTAAAAATAGTTTTAACTACTTATTTTACAATACAGTACTGCGATATTTTGCACATATTAAAATATTAATAGTTAAATATCTGAATAATGTTTTTCACATTTAAATCTTAATTTTCTGAACTGATACTAACAATATTAAATCATTTTAATTTATTTACCTAAATTATTAGGCAAATCATAAAATCATTAAAATTATTAAATTAAAATCATTAAAACAAAAAAAGCAGATAGTTTATTTACCTGAACATATGCTTTGTTAAATTTTATGCTATGTTGTGACAACTGGTCAATATTAGGGGTAATAGCTACCTTATCATTATAGCAATTTAATGCTGGTCTTAAATCATCCACAATAATTAATAGTACGTTAGTTGGTGCAACAATCTGTTCTGAAATAACACAAAAATTTTTCTGTTAGTAAGTTATTTCAAGCCCTTGAGAATGGATAGTGCTAACTCACAGAATCGTGTTTCTGAGGTAATTAAGTTTGAATGTTTGAAAAAAATTCTAAAATTATATGAATAGGTGTATGTTAACATTTTTGCTCTTTGAACATTGCTTGTAGATGTGACTGTCATCACATCATTTTAAGATTTTTTCAAATATTCAAACTCAATTACCTCAGAAAAATGATTCTGAGGATTAGAACTATACGTCCCCAAGGACTATTTGGTTAAGGAATGAATATATAAATCAACGTAAGAATTAAATTTAAATGAAGCATTCATAGTCAAACATTTTCAAACATTGACTTTAATGTTTCTAAAAGTGTTTATAAAATAAATTACTCTTAAAATAAGTACAAATACATAAAAATCATAAAATTTATTCATTCATATTTATTTCAAATGAAATTAAATAAAAATTCAGAACCGAAGTTTGTCAGATTATTGTCCTTTAATTTTTATAAAAATTTTTTTAAAAAAAAGTTTAATTTGACCTAATATTTAAATCACATAAGATGGCATTTTCAAAAATTAAAAAGAAATTTTTGTTTTAAATAATTTTATAACATTTAAAGAAAATAAAATTTTCTTAAGAATAATATTTTAGAAGATATAGTCATCAATATTTATAGACTAAAGTTTATGATACTCACTTCTTTAGCAGATATTTTCATATTGATAAAGATGACAAATGATTTTTCTAGGTCCAAATTCCTGCTATTTTAAGAACATGTAAAAATCTTTTCAAAGCTGATTCAGGTTACTCTTTCATTTCTTTAACTAAAAATGTAGTTATATAACTACATTCTTTAACTAAAAATGTAGGCTGCCAACCATCAGTGTTTGATGCTGACTAGCAGCATTTTGTATAATCTGTCAGTGGGCAGGCCACTTTTTCCTTTTGTCAGCATTTTTAAAGAATTTGATATTATCACAAACACTTCATTTAACAAGTCTAATGCCAATATATGTCAAAGACAATGTGTGTATTTTATTATAAATAACTGAAGCAAACCAGAATGACGTTTTCAGATTCCTTCAATTGGGAAAGAACTAATATTGATATTTTTATATATGTTTATTGGTATATGTATGAAAATATTAGCTCAAGTATGATAAATTAATGGTAGATATGATAAATTGCATCTTCAAGGCTGGCAACATTAGTGCCATCATGGTGGTTAAATCAATTATGGCTGACACATCAGCAGAAGGAAACAAGTTACTTTTACAGTTAGACCAAATTATTAAGCAGCATTACAGTTTCTCCTCCCAAAAAGAAGAAACATCTGATTCATCACTTAAGAATAGACAGGCTGTATGTTATGAACATTCTTAAGTTAAGAAAGGAAACTAGCAGGTTCTTTGAGATTTGTGAAATTTTATAAATATTTGTAATCTTTGTAAAATAGTAAGGCTGATGATGGTTTTGTCACATTTGATGATCCTTTTGCCATAAAGCAATGCAGGTGAGGTCCTGCATTGCTGTATGGCAAAAGGAAAAGATATTCAGTATGATAAAAAAATACAGAAATAGGAAATAAATTGCAACCAGAAAAATCATTGTAGCTAATATAAAAAAACTGATTGATAGCAACTGTCATGAGTACACCGTAACAAAAGAAATTATTAATAAAGCAAAAGATCTCACAAAGGCATATAACAGGAGGCACCAATTATGCAATATCAAGACTCATGACACATCAAGATGAAACACATCATAAATCTAGGTATAGTTTTATGATGTGTCCTGTAAAATACTTGACCTTCTTTAAGTTGTGATGTTAAAGAGTATAAAGCTACTGCCATACTTTTGACAGAGTTTATGGCAAGAGCTTTATAAGATATCATATACAGAAATACCTCTAATATGAAAAATTTAATGTTATGTGACCAGAAGGTTGGCACCTCTTTAGCGCCTTGACAGGACTGACACCAATGTGTCCCAATTGACACAGAAGCCAAGATGGCATGTTGATTCAGTATTAGAACGTTGGTCACGTGAGTGGCAGCGTGTGCGGGCAATTGGATTTGGGATGGAGGAGGGTTGAGAGACAGCGTACTGGAAGTGAATCACTTGGATGCCAGGTTAACTAAACAACCATTTATTAGTAAAGGAAAATATCTACGCGTTATAGGGGGTCTACTGTACTATTTTATGCATTTTATACATTGTTAAATAAAAGGTATGACTATAATAATACATTCTACAATGTTTATTTAAATTTCATTTATAAAAACAATTTTTAAAAAGAATATATATTCTTTTATTAATATCTCTACTTTCATTTTATGGAGTTAATCAATTTGGCAAATGAGCAACTCATATGAATTATTTTAACACACACAAAAATATATAGAACCTACCATACCTGTAACTAATAAATTTACAATAAAAACCAGCCAACTATAACTAAATTCATGAACACTATATATAATCAAGATCATGTCTAACATATTTATATGAAACTCTCATGCTTAAGCACTAGTTGTTTGTAGAATAAGCTCATTTTTGACATGTATCCATTTTGGAAAACATTTTCAAGAATGGTTATTTATTTGTCTTCAAGAAGTGATTCAACAATTACCAATACATAATGAGCAATTATTTGTGATCTCGTCACAATGCCAGGTTGCAATTTTTAATCACATTTTTAATTTAACTTAAAATATATGCTCTCCACCTCAAATTAATAGTGACTTGCCCCTATATATCATACTTTTCATTTAACAATAGTCATGCTGGTCATATAACACCTTTCAGGGAAAAATTTTTGATTTAAAATAACATGACTTCTGGTTTGCATCAGAAGTTCATATATAGTTAATCAGAACCTCCTGCCTCTAAACTTTCCATTTCTGGTCTTGAATTTCATTTATCTAATACCATTCTCAAGACAGACAGATGACGAATGACAGTAGGAATTTATAGGTCTACAATTTTTTTCAAATTGCAGCCCAATAAGAGACATACTTCACTACAACTCAAGTAAGTTAAATTATATTCTGTGAGAAACATTAAGAAGGTTTTCCTGTTAATATAGCTATATATTATTAAAAATTAGTATTTTAGTCTAGCTAAAAATCTTTGAATTGTATTCATTACAATAGTCGTCATAGATTGTAAAATAGCATAACTAATTACTTATCTTCAGATAAACATAATCATGAAAGCTTGAGTAAGTTTTTCTATACTTTGATTTATTACTCATTTAAAGCATTTATTTTGAATCAGAATATATGCCTATATAAAAATTGATGTTTGTGTATGCTTTTAATCCTTATTTTTCAAATAATAAATATATACAATATGAATATTTTTTTTTCTTTAAATTAACTAAGCTTTATTAAATTTTTTAATGAAAATTTTAAAGAGTGCATAATTTCAAAAAAAAGAAATTAAAAAAAAAACATTCAGTTTTCATTGCTCTTGGGTTCTTTGCTTATGCTTGGACTTCCCATTAAAAGGGAAAATTATTGGACTTTCCATTTATTATTCATCATGAACACTATATATAATCAAGATCATGTCTACAGTAACATATTTACATTAAACTCTCATGCCTAAGCTCTAGTTGTTTGTAGAATAAGCTCAGATAAACCATCAATGAGTTGCTCAACTTTCCTGGCAATGTTTAAAACTTTGGTGGCACCATCTGTTATCATATTTTATTAATAAATTTTTTAAAAATATTTTTAACTATTATAAAATGGCAAAATGCTTAATTTTCAGGGTAGGTATGAGTTTTATAAAAAAAACTGTGAATGCTAGTAACGAGTAAAATCATCATTAAGTCCAACCCTACTGGAGATACACACAACTCTCATTATCTCCCCACCCTCTCAACCTTCAACCACCAAAATTTACTTGCATCAATCCAGCTAATAAACAAACCTCCCTGCAAAATTTCAGAAATTTTCAACAAAACAACACGAGTTATTAAGCTTCAAACAGGGTGAACAAAATCATGCTCCCTACACACTAACATCCATACATACAGAAATTATCCCTGAACTTTTTTGCATTTCTCAATGTTTCAAGGTGTCCCAAGCCCAAAAATGTAAAAATCTGGGGGATTCATTTTTTGTCAGTTTGCCGTAATTTTCATCTGCGTAACAGCCAGAAAAGTAAAAACTGATTAAAATTAGAAAATTAAATTAAAAATTACTGCAAATTTCAAATTAGTAAAGTTTTACTGCATTAAATTATGAAAAAAAATTTTTTTATACAGTAAAACTTTAGTAATTCAAACTATTCAAAAGTTTGTATTAGTAAAGTTTTGGTAATTTGCAAATTACAAAATTCAAATTCAAATTGCAAATTACAAATTCTATAAATATATAATAGAATTTTTCATTTTCTATTGTATATTTTTTAAAATACTGAATTTGTCAATTCTAATCTGAGCTTTAGTAACTATTACTTTACACTTACTTGTTAGACAGATGTGTCAAGATGTGATTAAGGAACAATTAGAAAAGGAATTGCAAACAAAAATTAGCCCCTTTTTTTAAGCTCAAATTAGTAAATGTTGGCAATGACATGAATGATGATGATACTTTGTCTTTTGCTTAGTAAAAGTTTATCAAATCACCGTATTTGTTCATTTAAAGTGTACAATAAATTTTGACATTAAATAAAATATACTTTTCAGATCATACAATATGCATTTGAGTAAAAATCTCTTTAATTTGGACTAGGAATATATTAACAATATTACTTTATTTCATGTAAATTGCTTATATTTCCATTATATTTAAAAAATTTTTTTATTGGTAATGAAATTTATCTGTTTATTATTAATGAAATTTGTACTATTTAAAGTATTCAATATTTTTATTGTTTAACCATTTTATGTGGTTAACTTTAAGCCATATGAATGAAAAAATGTGTAAATATGACTGCAATAAAAAGAATATAGAATTTATTTATTTGTAATAAAAATGATTTCATTTAGTTTATCTTTCCTGATAAATATCAATATCTAATAAAAATTTTATATTTTTTATTGGATAAATGACATACTGTAAAATAAAAATTCAGCAAAGCAATTAGGAGTGCATATGATCAATAACAGCTTTCTTTTATATCGTAGCATATGTTTGTCATATATAAATTAACATAAATTTCAATTTTCCTACATCCTCAAAAACTACATGAAAAAATCCTTATCTCAAAAATAAAAGGTCAATTAATCTATTACACAACTATATCCTAATGTATTTATTTTTGTAAAAGCAAGACTTTTTTTGTCTTGCTTTTACAAATATCTAATAGTCTATAATAGTAATCTATAATAATAATAGTCTATAATAATAAATCTATAATAGTAATATCTAATAATATTAAAAAATGACAATAAAAAATATTAAATTTGTTAGAAAGAAGACAGAAAACTTAGATTTGATATGAAATTTGTTAGTAATTAGTATATAGATAATACAGTATATACATTCAGTATATAAAAACAGGTTTGAAATATGCAATGACTAGAAAAATAACCATACAAAACAATTTAAAAACTTGATTTACTTGTAATATTAAAACAAAGGCTATTTTCAATGTTTTCACTAAGAACAATTATTTTTGAAATTAGTGTAAAATGACAAATTTCATTAATTGCAAAGACAATTGTAAATGTTTATACGGATAATTTTTCCATGACAAATAATTATTCACTTACAAAAAAATTAACAGATAATGTTTCAAAGTGAACAAATTCAACACACATCTACACCCATACACTTCTAGAAGTTCATCACTTCATTGTATTCAATCTATGAGCTTCAAGAGAACATCACTTATAGATCACCGAAAAAACTTTTGCATTTGGCCTCATAAATGCTGATTTTACTTATCAGACCCACTACCTAATTTTCATCTACTATAATCCTACAATCTCTGAATGAATAACAATTTATTATTTATGTTGGTTCAACTGAATAAAGTTTAATTCTGTGATTTGCCAAGTGTCTGTATAAATACAATAAATAATTTGTGTTTGGATTACACTTCTTTATGTCTAAATTCATCAATTTTATCTGAAATTAATTACCATATTTACTAGCATATAAGACAAGGTTTTTATTCATTTATCACAGCTTCAAATTTCTAGGTCATCCTATACACACGAGCAAAAGATTTTTTACATGTTTGTAAATAATTTTTGTGAACCGTGTATTCACATTTTTTACTGGATGCTTATCCTCTTGTATTTAAAAACATAAGTATTTTATATGGGTCCTTTGACTTGTTCTTGTATATTGTCAGAGTAAAGATAAATAGCAGTAGGAAAAGTAAAGCTTTTAAATTATATACCAGATTAAAATTCCAAAAATCACACAGGAGCCTATATAAGTTTTAATCCATTCCCACGTGAAAACAGCGATTATTTGGAAATCAGAATTCAGAGAAACTCTTAAGTGTAATTGACGGAGAGTGGATTCGACTTAAGAATTGACAAAAAAAAAAAAAAGGTTCCCCGATTGTCCAGCTTTACATGAACAAATTACGTTGTCAATTAGGAAAAGTAAAGCTTTTAAATTATATACCAGATTAAAATTCCAAAAATCACACAGGAGCCTATATAAGTTTTAATCTATTCCCACGTGAAAACAGCGATTATTTGGAAATCAGAATTCAGAGAAACTCTTAAGTGTAATTGACGGAGAGTGGATTCGACTTAAGAATTGACCAAAAAAAAAAAAAAGGTTCCCGATTGTCCAGCTTTACATGAACAAATTACGTTGTCAATTATACAAGGCACTTCCTTAAAGTTTAATGCTAGTAATTTTTGCAGGAAAATGTGTGCATTTACGTTCATTTGATATTTTACTCGTGATTAAACGAAATAAAATTAGAATTGTATTAATAAATCTAATTTTCTTTATTTTGATCTTTAAAGTCACATGTCATTCTATATGCAAGGTCATCTTATATGTGAGTAAATACAGTTTCTAAAGCAATTGTATAAAGGTATAAAGGAGAGAAAGCATTCTAATAAGTATAGTTCTAATTCAAGTAAGGTTCGGGGCCATGCCGTGCTACAATACAGAGAGGAGGCATCAAGTGGCACCATAAGGGGGCGGCATTTCAAAGACTCACATCATACTGCACGGTCCCGGTAAGGTTTATTTCGTTAAGCCATTTGTCTGCTCACTCACTCCACAGCTCGTCTCTATCAAGCCTCACATCTAGCACACATAGAACTTTCTGAACAAAATGTATGTATTTTAAATATATATGAAATGTTAATGTTAAATTCATTTACTTTTAATATTTTGTTTTATGGTGCAGAAATTAAAAATGGAGATTTAGTTTTTAAAGGAAAAGAAATACATTTTGTTTCAATGTTAATTCAATTTCACAATGTAATGCAATGAATCAATACATTTTCTACTAGTTTAAGGTGAATAATTACCATTTTAAACTTTGTTTAGTGATTTTATATACAAATTAACATAATTTATGACTTACAAACAATTCTTATATATAAAAAAATCAATATAATAGCTTAAACTTTAATGATAAATCAAGTAATAAGAGAAAGTAAGGAACAATTGACTTACTTGTTTTCCTAAGAGTAAAATGCAATCCCAACATAACAGTTCCAGTTGCTACAACTAATATTACGATAGCAACACATAAGTAAATACTACGATTTTTTAAAGTTTTTCTATCAGAAATCGTCATAATTTATATTTTCTCTGCTCTCACTTTCGACTCCTGCAAGCAACAATCATCGTCTGCTCTTCCCATTCCACACGACACAAATTCTGTATACGCCCCGTGGAGCATGCGTACACTTGTTGAGTGTTTAAAACAAAATAAAAAATAAAAAAATGTTGATATTAATTTTTAATTTCAACGCTTATAAAAAAATAACTATAATTTTATAATATGTAAATATAAATAAATAAAAATTTTAAAGTTTACTTTCTTTGTATTGGTGACTTTTTTTTTGTAACTTTCTGCCCTGTGGGCACTAAGAGGGCCTTTTTCAGCAATTCCATTATGGGTTCGGCCAGGCCCACAATGGGGCAACCGGGTGGTGAGAGACGGGGCCCGACAAATTAGGGCAGACCACGTCCCGACTCGTCCGGTGTCCCCAAAACGGGAGGATGCCACGTTAACCGCCCGGCCATCCGCTCCCTAATAATGACTGTAGTTAATGATTAAAGCGAGTTTGTTTTTGATATTTTTTTTATTTTTGGTTCTTTTTGTCTTGTGGTCACTGAGAGGGCTTTTTTAATCATGTCCATTGTTGATTCGCTCAGCACCAAAAGGGGACGGTCGGGTGGTGAAGAACTAGGTACGATATATTTCCCTAACCCCGAAAAATTCCTAAGATTCGTCGGAATGCGATCTCGGATCCTTCATAGTCTGGCCATTCTCATTTTCGATAGTAGAAGCAGAAACTGAGAAAAATTCTAATTATAGGGAGTCTCAACTGGTCGCAAACACGAAGTCACATCTCTCTTCACTCCGAAAGACAAGAATATGTGTGATTAAAATCAACGAATCGTATATTTTAAAAAAGACTTTTCGTTACATATCGAAGGAAAGTTTGTAATATCAATACTTCCCTTTCTTGCTTTTTATATAAAATATTAAATTTATTTCGGGTCAAACAATTCTGTTAGCAGCAAATCTAATGGAAGTTTGACTTGTTTTCAAGCAAAATAATTTACTTGAAAGGAATTTCTAGCTTAAAATGTTATTATTTTCTGATAACAATTTTATCTATATTTTAAGTTAAATTTATCTTTTATTGATAATCAATCATTAAAATTTTCTATCGTTATCAAAAATATATTTCTAATTTCTTAGATTAAATGGAATTCAGATAATTACTTTTATATATTGTATCAAGTATAAATTTAATGTAAATACTGTATAAATAAATTAATTTTGCTTACACGAATATTCTCTATAAAAATAAATTTTTGTATTGTTCTGGTTAATACAAAATGTATTTACAGAAAAGTTTGATTTTAATTAATTTGTGTCGAGAAATATACCTAAACAATGAATACATGGAATCAAATACAATTTGATGACTATGGTTAATGACATGTCCATTCGATACATTCAACTTATATATTTTTCTACAATATTTAATAATTTATTACGCTAATTTATATTATTAAAAAAACCTTTTTAGCTTATGATAATGGGACAATATTTTTACACTAAACACGTTTCTAAGTGATTTCTAAAATAAAAACTTTGTTTTCTTCATGAAATTAAAACTTTCGTTGGTCGCAAATTTCTTCTTGTCATCTTTATTATTCTGAATTTATTTTTAGGACTATTATAAAAAATTTGTTAATACACTTGCAATGAGTTAAACATCAGAACATCAGTGAAATACAGAAAAACAAATAGATTAGAAAATATTTTTTGCCAGTGCAAGTAGCATTTCTATCTTTTGAATGCTGTTGAATTAGATTCCCGTTATATGCAATAGAAATATATTCAAATAAAAATTCGAGTGATTGATATTCTTTGCAATATACTTGTATAACAATAATAATATTAATTTTTTAATAAGTGATCGTCAGCAATAACAAATATTATTGTGAAACAATGAGGAGTGGTTTTTTATAATAATTAATATAAACACTAAAATAGTGTGGTTAGGATTACGGGATGATCTCAGTTTATTTGTTAAAAAAGTACATCCATGTATACTAAAAATTTCTAATTTGGCAATATATTTTATCCATTTATACAAAGCATTCAGAAAAAATTTAAAATATCGTACTTCTTTAACTCTTTCGATGGTAACTTGCATTGTTGATGTTTAAATATTGAGATTATGATTACTGTATTTTTTTAAATATAGTGATTCTGTAAATTATATTTTGAATCTTTATAAACATTTCTATATTTCTTGTGAAATAATGGCTTGAACACTTGATCAATATTTGGAGTTTGCAAAACTTAAATTGTTAATTTACACGTATATTTTAAAAACGGACAAATTGAAAATTCGGATAGGGTCCAGCCTCAATTAATCTAGATTTTTAACGCTTTACTATATATACAAATATTAGTCTCTAACATTAGTTTTGGTAACACTAAACATTTTCTATTTCTATTTTCTTCTTTTTTTTAAATGTCTCTTAATGATTATTTTAATATAGTGGTTGGCGATAAAATAGACTGATGTTTGCATGACGACTGATAAGTTAGTTGTGCAGTTTATGGATGTAAATAATGCCGAGACATACGTGCTCGGTATTTTGCATCAAAAAATTTAATGCAAGGAACAAGTGATGGAGGATTCATCCATTGAACAAATAGAAAAATTCATTAGTGGTAATTCCACAATCACTGCGATTGTTTTGTTTTAAATCACGTAAAAGACATAAAAACTTGGATAATTTACTTGAAGCTTCTTATCCTTTAAACATTGAGTCTCTAATCTTATAGTACATTGATAATTCAACTTGCCTTACAGGAACACACTTCATTTGTATGGACATATCAAATGTTTGAGATAGTCATTCTGCAAATGACGATCTCAAAGATTTCTATTATTCTTGGAATTGACTTCAAAATGAATATTATTTTATTATATCATGTAATTTAGCCATTTATTCTTTATGAAAGAAATAACTTTAAAACGCAAGTATATCTATATAGGCGAATGATTATCTCAAAGATTTGATTTGTCCATCCAAATGTAAGACGTTCTTGTATGGCAAGTTCTTGAATTATCAATGTAGGCCAATTATATGATTTAGAAACATAGAAACAGTCAATACATAAAATTTACAATGTATTTAAATACTCATTTTAATAACAGATTTCTTCTGTTATCAGTTTGTCAATATTTTTTTATTTTATTTCTCTGTTGACTCATGATGTTCGTGTTATATATATATATATATGCCTATATATAGGCTATATAAAAACATTACAGATTTTTTTATCCAAAGAGAAACCATGGGTACCTCGAATAATCAAAAACTTGGATAACACACAGGGCTTTCCAGAGCATGTATAGAGCCAGGAATAGAGCGGGTTTCTTTTACCTCTTAGCGGGCTCTTTTTTCTTTTTTGAACTAATGAATTATGTTTCTTTATTAATAAAAAGCAATTTTATTTTCTGTTAATTTACTTGTGATAAAGTGTTCTTCTACAATTTAACCTTCGTAATGCAGAACTTCGGTTATAAAAGTTTCTATCGTGTAAATTTATGTATGTATAACACACTCAAGCACACATACACGACACAGACGGATTAACTTAATATATTTTCAAAACAAAAACAATTACCATTATTTTTTCCTTAATAAATGTCACATGACATGTTTCCTTGATTCTATTTTTCTTGTTTGCTTAATAAATTAATATTATTTTTAAAAATATCTGATCACTTTTGACTACATTAATGTAAGACTTAATATGAACAAAAACAAATTTATCAATAATAGAAAATAAAATGCTTTAAAAGTTATATAGTAAAGAGATAAAATAAAGTAAATTTATTGTAAAGCAGGAATTTTATAATTACACAGGTGACCATGAGGAAAACAATAAAATAACATAAATTTTAGTTTTATCAGCTTTAAATTGCATGACGACCTCCAACAACTGCTTATAGACATTTTATTTGAAATGAAATGCAAAGTAAATTTATTACATTTTTATAAATATCTTTCGCTGTAAATAAATTAGTTAAAATTAGTTTTTAAAGTCATTTTTATGGCAAACTCTAGTTAATATTTAATATTTTATAATATTAAATATTANCATGTTTTTAAGTAAAATTAAAATCAAAATTTTCGTAATTTCTTCATTTTATTTATAAAGAATTAAAATAGTTTTAAGACTTGTTTTAATTATTATAAAATTGCTGAAGTTAAATATAAATAAGCTATTAAAAATAATTTTTTTAAAGTTTATTAATTAAGTAAATCACTGAATAACAACAGATAAATTTATATATTTCTTCATATAAATAAATGTATAAGAGTTAAACATTCTAGAGATAGAATTATTCTTGGAATAGACTTCAAAATGAATATTATTTATTGTATTACATCATGTAATTTACTCATTTACACTTTATGAAGGAAATAACCTTGAAAAGCAGGTATATCTATATATAAATAAAATAAAAACAAATTCAAAATTAGTATTAAAAATTACTTTTATTTTGAAATTGTTAAATTAAAACAGTAAAATAAATATTTAAAAACGAAATAAAAATCTGTATATTTATTACAAAAAATAGAATTAAGTTCTGAAAAAAGTTAATAGTATTAATTTTTTATTGTTATTAGTAACCAAAATATCTAAAATTTTATTTATTTTAATAAATAAGTTTATAAAAATGTTTTCGTTATAGTTAATATAACGTGATATGATTATTTTTACAATATATATCGCATAATTCCGTAAATATTGTCACCTAAAATATGAAAACACGAAGAATCGTTTACACAAAATTAATTATTTTTATTTTAAATTTAATTTATATTTTAAATAACAAAATATAATATATATCAAACATCGAATTAACCAGGAACAACCTTTAAGAGAAATAATATTCCCTCTAGATATCAACTTTCCCAACTTCTTTATATTGATATTAGAAATAATTAATGAAAAAGTTTTATATGGATATTTGTATTTAATTTTTGATATTTTAAAATAAACGATAATTTTATATAATGTTTTTGTGGTTAATACTATAAGGCAACTCAAAAGGAAGGTGATCTGCCAAGAAGGATGCTTCCCGAGAGGATTTCTAACTGCG